CCGGGAGCGACGCGGGTTGGCGCCGGGTTCCCAGAGCCTGCCGAACGCCAGGCACGGAAGAGGAGCCGGCTCGGAAAGAACCCTGACGACGGACTCCGGGGGCCCGGATGTCGCCGCCGGGACCCGCGACCACGCCCCCGCGGCGGCGGGGTGGGGCAGGCGTCCGAAGCGCGTCCCGGGCTCGGGGCAGGCGGGCACCTGCGCAGTAGCGGTCCTGGGGCCGCGTCCCGTTGCCCTGGAGACGGCGGCGCTGCCGTGACGTCAGGCTGGGGTGCTGGCGCGGCCCCGGCCCTGCCGAGCGGAGGCCGTGTGGCCTCTGCTCTCGGGGCTCGCGGACTCGCGCCTTGCTGCAGAGCGAGGGCGCCGGCCGGGCGCACGTCCTGTCCTTCCGCAGCCCGGCGTTTCCCGCTGAAGGATCCTTCGCCTCCGGGAGAGGCTTCCGTGGGTCTGAGCCTGATGCGGGCGTGTCCGCGGACTCCGGACGAGGTCCGCCACCCCGTTCCCCGCCTCCACCTGTGCCTCCCAAGGGAGGCGCGGCTGCGCAGCTCAGAGACGGCTCCGCGGGACCAGTGGGCTCGAGGGGCAGTGGGGCGTTGCAGCCTGGGTCTCTCGTGCTGTGCCAGATCAGGGGCTGCGGCCAAGAGGAGGTTTTGCTTTAAAGCTTTGCTCAGTTTGTTTTAAATGTATGTCGAGACGAGGGTCTTGCTGCGTTGCCCAGGCTGGCCCCGGACTCCTGATCTCAGAGGATCATCCCGCCTCAGCCTGGCGTGAGCTCTCCTGGCCGGCCCAAAGGGGAAGGTTGTTTTGTTTTGAGTCGGTGTCTCTCTCTGTCGCCCTGGCTGGAGTTCAGGGGCACCCCCACGGTCACCGCAGCCTCGACCCACGGGGCTCAGGAGATCCTCCCGCCTAGGCCTTCCAAGTAACTGGAACCAGCCGGGCTTGGTGGCTCAGCCTGTCATCCCGCGCCTTGGGAGGCTGAGGTGAGTGGATTGCCTGAGCCCGCGGGTTCGAGA